AATGGAAGAAGTAATCACAAAAGAGGAACAACAAGGAGAAGAAATAATGACCTTATTTCCCCTGTTGGAAATACTGATTCTTAACGATTTGCCTAAGCTGAGGCATTTCTTTCTAACAAAGAGTGTTACTAAATTTCCATTTCTCATAGAAGTGACCATTCATAAGTGCCCTGAAATGAAGATGTTTGTCCAAAAGGGAATAACTGTGAGTCTCGAAAGTACTGTGAACAATGATGATGAGGTGAAAGTAATGTTCAATTCTCAGGTTTGTGTCATACATTCCTGGTCTGCTGCTGCATTAGTAATATCTAGAGATACCGCGATTGTTATTGGATATTAACTCGAGTTCATTAGAGATATCTATAAATTTCAAATTCTGAATTGCCTTATAATACTTGAAGGTTTCTTTTCCCAACTTGGAAGAGCTAACCATCTCAAAGCTTGAAAGCGTAACTCTATGCTCTGACCAACTTTCAACTGCCTACTTCAGCAAACTTGTAATGTTGCATGTATCGAATTGTGGAAACTTGAGAAACTTGATGTCTCCATCAGTGGCTCGAGGTCTTCTAAACCTCCGAAGTTTACGGATAGAAGGATGTTCATCAATGGAAGAAGTGATCACAAAAGAGGAACAACAAGGAGAAGAAATAATGACCTTATTTCCACTGTTGGAAGAACTGCATCTTGACGATCTGCCTAAGCTGAGGTATTTCTTTCTGACAAAACGTGTTACTGAATTTCCATTTCTCATACAAGTGACAATTCGTGAGTGCCCTGAAATGAAGACATTTGTCCAACAGGGAATATTTGTGAGTACACCGAGTCTCAAATGGGTGAATGGTGGTTATGAAGTGAAAGTGGACGATCTAAATAAATGGACACAACAGTGGTTCAATTCTAAGGTTTGTCTAGTACCGTTAATTGTATAACTAATTTACTCTAGTGCTCTTTTTCCGTCTTAACTTGAAAGTAATATTCTGATACTTATTAGTGTTTGTCAATTGAAGCAACTTTCTTCTACAATAATTTTAATTAGAAATCTGAAGCATTACTATTCTTTGCTCCCAGGAACAAAAAGCTAGCCAAGGCACTACCAATGGCGACAAATCTGAAGCTGTCGATGACTAACGAAAGGGTGAAACATGATTTTGGGGTGATGGTTGTTTATGCCTGTTTTTTTGGCAGCCTCATGAGAAAAGGATGCTTTCAATTTCTCCACTTTTCTTGCTTTGTACCCCACCCACCTCACCTTAAAATTTAATTTCAATGACCAAAGAATTAAGACTTTATTGTGGTCACGCTATTTGATCTCACTACTAAAACAAATGAGAAGTGACAACACCTTATTGTTAACAGTTTGCAAAGTGGAGTCTTTTTTTTTATGCTTTTGGATATTTCAGTGTCACAAATTGACACATAATAATAGAATGAAAAAAAACTAAAATACTTGTTACATGCTCTTTGTTGTTCTGTTGATGATGAAATATGTGTAACAGAAGGAAACTGCAAGGCATACAACTTTTAAGAGTTCATATTTAGGAAATCACTCAACTTTGAATTGTTCGTTTGGAAAACACTCAACTTTGTTTTATAACTCGAAAGTCACTCCACTAATAATAGTTCACATAAAAAGTCGAGTAACTATTGATATTTAACATGAAAAGCACCCAACTAATTAAAATTAACTTTTCATTAAATTTTGTAAAACACACAAAATTTACTATGTAAAAAAATAATAAGATGCTTATTTTAATTATTATATTGAAGTATAATTTTTCTTTATAGCTTTTTCTTTTTTTAAAAAAAGGGCATTGTGCTGCGTGTTTTTTATTACTTCTTATCAATTCCAGCTTCAAAAAATCATAATTAAATACGATGAATTAATATAATTTATTTGCAAGTTTCGTGATATTAACAAAATAAAATAATTGATCACTAGCATACAAAGATAACTTAAAGATTCTTTTCATATGAAAGATCTTGATAGTCTTATATATTTCTTGGGTTTGAAAGTTCATAATAATATTTGAGGTGTGTTTCTGAATCAACACAAATATACTCAGGATCTGATTTCTTTGGTTAGTCATTAAGATTTCTCCTCCGTAAATACTCCATTAAAATTGAATGTGAAGTATTGTCGTGAGGAAGATGATCTTCTTCCTGATCCAACTATATTTCGACAATTAGTTGGGAGTCTAAATTACTTTACTTTTACTCGATATAATATATCTTTTGCAGTTCAACAAGTTAGTCAATTCATGCAAGCTCCCCATCATCTCCATTTGGTGGTTGTCCGTCGTATCATTTGGTATCTTCTAAGAACATCTACTCGTGGATTGTTCTTTACAAGTGTTTCTCCTATTCATCTTAATGCTTTTAGTGATTCTGATTGGTAGAGATGTCCTAATACTCATCGTTTAGCCACTGGAGAGTCATTGATAACTTAGAAGAGTAAAAATCAAGATCCAGGGGTGGATCTACATGGATCCAAGGATGAACCCCCATAGTTGAAAAAATTACACGGTACATATAGGATCAATTTTTTGATTTATATGTATATACTAAGTGATGAACCTCCTAAACATAAGCCAAAGGCTTGGCTTAGCGGTAAATGGGGTTCAAAAATTTGCTACCTTAGTGCTAGGTTGTGGGTTCGATTCTAGATTACAACATTTTCCACCCTATTTTCAACTAATTTTCATTTTTATTTGTAAATAAATGAAAATTTGTTTTGTTTGAAAATCTATTTTTATAGTATTTTATTAGATATTAAAAATAAATTTATTTTCTATTTTTATAAAATTAAGTAAAACTTACAATGTTTTTAAGTTTTTTTAATTAGAATTTAAAAAATACATTCTCTCATACTCATTTTAAGTCAAACGTTTAATTTATATTCGATTAATAAATAATATAATTATAAGTAAGATCAAATAAATAAGAGTAATTATTTAAAATTTATAAATAAATACGATTGTTGCGATATTTTTCCATTTTGATAATTATTTTCTCGACACAAATTCTATTGCTACAATATGATCGGATTCAAAATTAATCCTTTGTTAGTTTCAAAAATTAAATAATGTTTATATACAACAACGACACTAATAATACCCATAATTATAGGTTTAAAAAATATATTCTCATGTTTTTATATTTTAATGTTATGTCAAACATATAGTTACTCGATTTATTGTTTGGATTGAGGTGGAGTTGAATATTTTTAGTTGCTTATATCTGATTCGACCCATTTATAATTGAGGCCCCCCGCTTGTATGGATACTATTATCGTGCTTACTTATCTTTTTGAACCCCCTCGATGAAAATCCTGCCTGTCACTGGCAAGATCGTGTGTCAAAATCTTCAATAGAGGTTGAACATCGATCCATGTCTACTGCTTGCTCCGAGGTAGTATGGCTTTGTGGATTACTTGTTGAGATTATATTTCCTCATGAATCTCATCCTACTCCTCTCCATGCTAACAATACAAGTGCTATTCAGATTGCTACTAATACAGTTTTTCATGAGGAGGCCAAATGCATCGAAGTAGACTGTCATTAAATATGAGAAATTGTAGATAAAGGATTCCTTACTCTTCCACATGGTTCCAATGATCTTCAAATAGATGATGTGCTTACAAAAACCATGCACGACAACGCCATCTTTTTTTAGTAGGTAAATTGATATTTCTTCATCCACCAGCATTGATTTGAAGGTGGATGTTAGCATGACAGAAAACTAAATAGTTTTATATATTAAAGTAATTATATAGTTCTATAAATTTGTATTATCATATAGATTCTGTTGTAAAATCAGAGAAATAAATATTGTGATAGAATGACTTATTTGGAGGGATAGTAAAACAAATTTAGAGGGAATGAATAGCAGATTTGTCGAGATAGAATAGTTGATATTTAGGGAGAGGAATGGCGGATATTTAGGGATGTGTAATCTTTATGCTCTCTATATAATGGAAATAATCTCTCGAATGCAAAAAATTGACGATGGCAACAATGCCAAACCTACTCATGGGAGAAGCTAGTGATGTCTATGAATCCAAAGTTAGATAGGAAGGTAATAAGTATTCGATAAAATAGTCCAAGTAAATAAGTATTCAATGAAATAGTCCAAGTTAGATTGAACATCACCTGATACTTCAGCGCGGTTTGTTAATTTTTGAAAGAAAGGGGTGGATCTTGAAGAAGTGACACGAGCCTAGAGTAGCAGCCTATTATGTTTTGTCAGTTTCCTTTGATATCTTATTAGTCGAACTTGAATTTGCATGTGGTTCTAAATTCTTCTTTCATTACATTTCTAATATGTAGCTTATTTTCTTATGACATCTTGCATTCTATATCGTTTTGAGAGATTTTAATGCACACTTTTTTGAGTGCTCGTTCATCCATATTTAATCGAGGCCTATATATAGCATCAAAAGAAAGCCTATAAAAAGTTATCTTACTGCTTGTGATGAGAATGTTATATTGTATTTTGGCTCAATATTGGGTCCAAAAGCTCTTTAATATTGAGACAAAAAATATTAGGTGTAAACAAGATGAATGAACAATGTTTTAGCATGTGACCTGAAGACTAAAAGTGAAGTCTTTGTTTAAAAATTCTTCTTTGATTTTTGTAGTCACCAGTTGCCTACAATAATTATTTTGACTGCTCATTGCTAATGGCATTCAAAGGTCCAAGCATTGTCTGCTCAAGACTATTGTGATGTTAGTTAACATTTAACATGCATTTATCCTTTTTTTATAACCATGCATGGTGCCGATGTCAGCTTGCACGGATGTTAACTTGTAACTATAATAATTTAATGGAAAATCAGATTTTTAATTAAAAAAATAATATAATATTAATAATAATAAGGAGTCCTAGTTTGACTAAGTCTCCACCTAACTCTCCTAATCCTAATCCTCTCATTCTCACGTATCTCACTCTCATTCTCATAAATATTATCAGCAAAAGAACTAAAAATAGTAGTTCTTCACTTTTCAAGAACTTACACACAAAAACTCAAACAAACAGCTAAGCTAAAAATGAAAATCAACAACATTCTTCTCAACGGATTGGGTTTGGGATTTTGGTGGTGAGGCAGTGGTGTCGTGAGAATAGGCAACATTGAAAGAAGTGTTGAACGATATTAAGGTATGGGTTTTATTCTATCTTGGCCCCCCTTCCCAAGAGACCCTTAAGGTTTAGTTTAATCGCAATTGAAAAACTAAGGTTGTCCCTGTTGCATGCCCCTGTCATTAGATCCTTTGAAATATTCAAAGCATGTGTTGGTGTGTCTTCTGGTAGATAATTTTAGGTCTGGTTGTGATTATGTATTGAATGTATATTTGGAAATTATGTAAGGAATGAAAGATGTATTCCGGAAAAGTGTATTAAGTTAACTGTTTGAGCATGTGTGTGTTGTAAATTAATTATGTTGCTGCCTGAAATTTACATGTTAAAATGTTGTGTTTTTGTGTATGAAAATGTTAAACGTGTGCTGTTCATATAAGGGTAATGTTACTGGAAAAATGTCATCCGAATTACTCCAAGAATCAACATAAAAACTTGAGAGAAAGATGGATTGAAAGAGATCAAATTTCCAACATGCTGGAAATGTTGGTCTCGACCAAAAATTTGAAAATTTAGCTATGTTTTAAAATTTTCTAAAAATTGTGAGGTCATTGGGGATTGAACCCAAGACCTCACCAAATGAAAATAACATAAAAATTTCATGAGAAAAAATGGAAGAAAAAATAAAATGAGGTGAGTGGGGATTGAACCCACAACCTCTTGAATAGATGAGAGACTTAGGAGAAAAATAAATAAGGTGAGTGGGGATTGAACCCACAACCTCTTGAATAGATGAGAGAGTTAGGAGAAAAATCAAAATGAGGTGAGTGGGGATTGAACCCATAACCTCTTGAATAGATGAGAGAGTTAGGAGAAATATAAAAGAGACAAATAAAATGAGGTGAGTAAGGATTGAACCCACAACCTCTTGGATAAAGTTAAGAGAAAAATTAATAGAAAAAGAATGAGTTTGTGGGGGATTGATCCCACAATCTATTTGCCTGAAAATAGAAAGAGAGGAGGGAAAAGAAAGAAAATATTATGGAGGTGATGGGATCGACCTAGGGTCCCCCAAATCTGAAAAATGCAAGTACCAAGTTTAATATAATATTAAGTGTTGCTCAAGGGATTCGAAATCGGGTTCCCTTGCCCAATTCTGTATTGACACATAAGTCGTACGTGAACAAATATTTAATAAATGCTGCCTCTAAGAGTCGAAATCAAGATCTTGGCATACCAACAAGATGCATAAGTCTTGTACCACATAATATTGGGTAAGTATGAATCACTTAGACGAATTATGAATGAAGCCTCATAGCTTGTACCCATGGATCCATAAGTCCAGCGTACGTTTAAAAGTAAGCGAACCTATGATGGATGTAATGAAATGATGTGAACCTAGGAGGTTTATGTAAGAGTGTGAAACATACTAAAAGGCCAAGTGCATTGGCATATGACGAAATGAACATTCACGTAAGGGGATATAGAAATGTAAAATCAAATCTCAAGCATACTCCAAAAGAAAGTGTTAAGAATGAATTGATAGTTAATATGTAAAGAAAAGAGTGACTACATGATTATAGGCTAGTGCAATTGAGATAAGATGCATCTACGCCTAAAAATCCGTGTTACTAAATGAAATTTCTAAGAGAGTATATATATATATATGAATAAGAAAAGAACGAGTGGCTACATGAGGATAGGCTAGTACAAGTGAGACAAGTTGTATCTATGCCTAGAATCAATGTCCCTCAATGTGAACTCAAAGAGAGCATATGTATGTTATACAATGAACAAATAATGAAAGGTAAGTAAAGATGAAACGAAAAGATGTTAAGAGAGAATAGGGTGGCATCATAATATGTGGCTAGTGCAAGTGAGACAAGTTGTACCTACGCCTATATAAGGTCACCAAAAGTACTCACCTCAGAGAGTGTTGATTATTAAGAGGCAAGTCTCAATCACACTCTATACGTAAGTATAAGGACAATTCACACTTAATACGTAATGATGGGATTATAAATCATCTAATGAGCTATGATGCCTCATGCTAGAAGCCAGCTTCTATGATGTATGAGATGAATCTAATGGAACTTTATACTGAGCACCTATAGGCTAGATATGAGTCGCGATTCCTTCTTTCAGGAAGGCTGGGGTTCGTGTAATTCTCATGAGATGAGACTGTCCGTCCAGACGGGTATGGGTCTCCTTATATCTCCTAGTCTTTGAACCTATATAGACAATATAGAGATCTAGCAGTGTTTAATTCCCTATATACGCTAGCATGTTTTGGTTTACTTTGGCCGGTGATTCCACCTCTTTTAGGTGTGGGGATTACACACTGGATTTCATGATGCTCACATGATCTATGTCAGTTAAGGTTAAAGTTCCCAAAGAAAGAATGAGGTCAACCTCAATGAACGTACATAATGAAATGAACGATACCAAAGGTGTTAGGATAGGATAATCAAAAGGTGAGCTAGACTTAAGTAATAACACTAGGTTGTTCTTGTTCATTGCACAGCGAACCCGATGAGAGTCTTGAAATACATCCTAGGTATGACTGATGGCTGCACTAGTATATGAAAGAATGAAAATGAAGTACATATAAATGAATGAAGCAGACTCTACTTTGTTAAAGAAGGCTCCCTAGTTGAGGTCCCATATGTTGAGCCCTTATTTTGAGAAGTCCTAATGTCAAGTTCATGATTCCAAGGTCTCATGGAATATGAAAGAATGATATGAACAATGTGATATGATATGTGTAATACGTTATGTGTTGTTTGCAAAATGATAACTATGATGATGTATGTTACTCTCATAGCATGACTTTCCTAATCCGATTTTGGCAAGTCCACTGACTTGACTTTCCATAACTCATATCGGTAGGAGAGGGATCTTCTTAATCATGCATGTCTTCGGTATGTGCTTGCATATACCATACTTAGTACAAGTGTGTACTAATCCCATACAACTCTTTACTTTTAGGTGTAGGTGCAGGTGAACGCTAGAGCATTACGAGACTACACTGAAGTTATCTGGACGTGGAGCATTCATCTAGACATGGTAGGCCCTCTTGCTTTCGAGGATGCCTATATTTTATGTTCTAGCTTAGATGTAGGCATCAGCTAGTGGAGGATGTTCCAGTAGCATTTCTTTGACTTGTTTCAGACATTGTATTGGTGCCATTTTGGCAAGTATACATTTAATGCAATATGGAACTATTTCTTTCATTTGATGATCTTAATATTCGATGGTTAATTGTGAACATTTATAATTTTAAGTAGAATGTCTTATATGAATGTTAAGTAATAAAAAGTTTAAATTTTCCGCTAAAATTAACTTAGATAAAGCAACGATGACGTATGTAGGCTTGTCTGTGACCTTTGAGAGGTCAACGACGCCGGTCTCGTCTTGGGTCTAAACTGCGGTCGTGACACCTCTGTGAGAAATCAACTTAGTGATCACGCCAGCATGCCTTTATACCTATGGCAAGGTATATTGGATCCTCTCGATGTGACGTACACATCGAACTTCACATTTAGCTCATGTGGTTTTATTATTGGTTATTAGTAGCTCCCACAATTCAGTCAGACTCTCTTGTATTGAACATTTATCAGTATATTCAGTATTCAGTTTTAGCATGTCATAAATTGGTCATTGCATTTAGTTAGCTCAAAATTCGCTATATCATGTTCAAATTATTATACTTGCTTTTGTGCTTGTTCAGTTATGTTTTTTTTCGCTTTATTCTATCCTACATGCTTAGTACCTTTCATGTAATGACACATACGTGCGCTACATTTTCTCATGATGTAGGTTCAAGTTCTCAGCATCCAGATCACGCATAGATCGATTTCTCGATTTCCAGTTCAGCAGATTCAATGGTGAGTCCTTATTCTCTGAGGACAATAATCACGAGTTCATTTCAGTCATTTAGTTTCAGTTTTTGCTAGACTTAGCTGGGGCTTGTCCCAGTATTTCTAGTCCAGTTAGAGGCTATTTTCAGACATAGTTAGTTTCAATGTAATTGTTAGTTTATATTTTTCTTTGTATTAAACTCATCAGTCTTCGTATAGCTCAGATTTAACATATGTGTATTTCCCCATCTTTTCATTTTAAGTATGATTTAGCTTTCGCAACAGTTTATATTCTTTAGTATGCTCATGATTATGCCAGCAGGGTTGGTTTGGGATCACTTGTGGTCCTAAGTTCCGTGTCCCCATATGGGGAGTAGCTCGAGGCGTGACTAAAAAACTGACTCATTCCTTAACTAGTTGTTCACTAATTTTTTCGTATTGTTTACACACATTTGGGTTACGTTGTTTATAACATCTGTGTACATAATCCTTAAGTATTGTATAACTAGTGTTATTCTGAACTTCTTATAACATATTTTTATTTTATTTGCAAAAGAAGTTGGTTTGTGATGATTTTATCCTTGGTCTCCCAAGATCTATTTTCGCCTTCACTAATCACTAATTCACAATGTACCCTACAATTGATTTTAAATGAGTTCAAGAGCACGCCGCTCAATTTAACCTTAACAGTGTGGGGGTTAGAATCGACCCTTATCATGTCTATAACATCCAAATGAGTTATAAAATCAGAGGGGGCATGGACCTAACCTATGATAGAGAACAACGAGGATAATCTATAAAATGGCTACAATGACATAGATTTTCATATTAAAAGCAAAATACAATGGTTTAACTAAAAAATTACTTTCGTATCTTTGGAGTATATTTTATATAATAAATAGTATATAATTTTGAAGCAAATCAACCAGGTTTTGGAACTATTGTTTCTATACCACATGTGACCCAATAATTTGTAGACTTCGAATTTGTAGACCATGAAAAAAGATTTATGAGTAAAAGATATAAATTTACTTAGAATAATATCTCATTGTTTTTCCTAACATTGAAACTACTGAAGAAGTTCACATTGTAACTACTCATCCCAAGAAATGTGAAAAAAATAAAATATTTATGAAGCATTTTCATCTATTGAAAAGTAGTATAAATTTAATCATGCACCTATCCAATTTGTTATTATTATTTTATCCCCATTATGGCTGTTAGTGGCACATGTTCTTATTTTAGTTTTAATGTTTATGTTTCTTTCTTTGTATAAATTCAGACTTTCTGCAGATTAGTATACACAAGGAATTTTATATGTTCACTCCATTTTTATTTTATCGAATCAGTTTCTTGAGTATTTTTGTTTTGACAGTGGCATCAGAGCCTCTAGTTTATCTTACAGGACAAAAATAACATTTATGAAAGATCAATGAATCCTTAATATACTTCAAGATGAATAAGAAATCTTTCTCTTTCTCCCTACTTTATTCGTCTTCTAATTTCGTATAGTTTCATAACACGTTATCAACACGATTGTTCTATTCTTAAAGAATGATAAAGAAGACGAGAAAAGTGCAAAAGAAATCTTGCATAAGTTATGCAACAAAGTTCTTATATCCTCAAGGTATGATTTATCTTTATGTTATAATTATTTATGTAAAAGATCTGGAGGTGCCATCTAAAGTAAGTATTAAATAGACTTGTCGACTTTCTATACGTTTAATTTTAATCGACTCGAAAGAGAATTCCTTAATTTATTTTAATAATTAAATAAGCACAATTTAGTGAAAGGTATGTTTTCAACCTTTATATGAGGTATGTGATCTATTAAGATATATTTATTAACTAATAATGTTGATTATGATAAATCAATAATCTCAATTTTGTGTGTAATTATAATATACGATCATATTAGTTATCATCAAAAGTGATAAAATTACAATTATTTTGAAGTCATGAAATTTACTGAATTTGCTCCATTACGTAAAGTGAAAGTGGTTGTAGTGCATAATATGTCTGAAAGAAGGCAAGTGATTGAATAATGCACATAGATATGGAATGAGGTACTTAATCTATCATGATTTGATATGCTCACATATTTGTGTTTCATTCATGAAGAAAGAGAACTTTCATAAATGCTAAAAATATAGATTTCTAAAGGGATAAAAAGCCACCATGCTAGGCATGAGAAAGATTGCGACCTTTGGTTAATGATGTGGTATCATCAAGAATCTCTCTAAGAAGACATGTATTATAGAAACGTTTCATGCTTTATCTTCAGGCTTGTATTGGACAAGAATTAGTTCAATTGAGGAACATTTATGATAAATAGGGATAATTCCCAAGTACCCCATCAACCTACGTCCGAAATCTCAGAGACACACTTATACTATACTAAGGTCCTATTACCCCCCTGAACTTATTTTATTAGTAACTTTTTACCCCTTTTTAGCTTACGTGGCACTATCTTGTGGGCCCAACGATGGTTGACTTTTTTTTCAAACTAGTGCCACGTAGGCTAAAAAGGGGTAGAAAATTACATATAAAATAAGTTCAGGGGGTAATAGGACCTTACTATAATATAAGTGTGTCTCTGGGATTTCGGGCATAGGTTGAGGGGGTACTTGGATATTTTCTCATATTTTTTAAAACAAATTTGAAGATATATACAATTATGTGACTAAAAGAATGAACAATATTTGGCTATTTATTTGGGAAAATTTATATAGTATATGTTTATATTATTTAAGGGTGGCAACTTTGTATCTCATGGGTTTTATTTAGGTATAATACATAAATGTGCCTTTTAACTTGACTTCAAATCATATTTATGCCCTTCAACTTTGGATTTGCACAAATAGACACTTAAACTTGTATAAAGTTAAAAAATATGTAACGACCCTCTTAGTCGTTTTAGAAATTTCAACTATTATTTTTTATATTAACCTTTTTAGTAGATTTTATAAATAATTTATATGACTTGTAAAAATGAGTGACACGATTTTTAGATTTAATAAAAGATTTTTTTGTTGTTAATAATAATGAAAAAAAAAGAAAAGAAAAGGAAATTAATTAATTAAATAAATAAAATAAAATAAAAAGAAAAAAGGCAAAGTGCCCTGAAAGGTTAAAAGCCTCAAGCGGCTACGTTCAAGAACAAGAATGAACGGAAACAAAATAAAAAATAAGCAGAAGATGAAAATAAAAGGAAGGGAGAAAAAGAAAATGAAAAAGGAGCAAAAAAATTTGATATGTTCATCTTAAGGCATCAAGGTATTATTCTTATCCTTTATATTAATTTTGTTATGTAATCAGGAGTAGATTTTACATTAAAAATCGTGCATAATTTATGTTAATATATGAACTTGTGATTATGCATAGAGTTCATTATATTCTAAATTATTATTTTATTATGTTGAAGTTATTGCCCATCTATTAGTGTTGGCAGTGTGTGAGTTATTTAAAATTTTACAGAATTTTTTTTATTACTACAGGTTACTTTGATTACTTTTGTCCTATAGGATTGGTGTGTGTATATATATATATATATGT